AAAAGAATGTGTATTCTGATTTTGTGGGGTGGAACACTCTGTAAACATCTGTTAAGTTCATTTGTTCAAGAGTTTGATTGAGTTCTAGTATTTCCATACTAATGTTTTGTCTAGTTGAGCTATCTGTTTGTGACAGTGGGGTATTGAAGTCCCCCACTACTATTGTATTCATGCTTATCTGATTTTTCATGTTTATTAGTATTTATATAGTTATGTTAGTTTTATATAGTTGGGTGCACTAATGTTTGGTGCATGTATGTTTATGATTGTCATCTCTTCTTCTTGGATTGTTCCCTTTAGAAGGATGTAGTATCTTTCTTTGTCTCTCTTATCAGTGTTGGTTTGAAATCCACTTTATCTGAAAAGATGATAGCTACTCCTGGTTTTTTTTTGGATTCCTGTTGCATGGAGTATTGTTTTCCACCCTTTAACTTTCAGTCTATGAGTTTCTTTTTTAATTAAGTATGTTTCTTGTATGCAGCATAGTATTGGATCTTGCTTCTTGACCTATTCTGCTAGTCTATTTCTTTTGATTGGTGAATTGAGACCATTAACATTGATGGTGATAACTGATACATGTTGACTTATCCTTTCACGAATTTTTCTTTTTGTTGGATTCTCCCCCTTTGTGTTTAATTTCTTGTTGTGCCTAATGGACTCATTCTGCTGGGCTTCCTGGGGCTGTGATCCTCATTGTCTTTTCCTAGGATATTGTCTAAAATGTTTTGGAGTGCTGGTTTGTTATTCATTAAGTTCCTAAGGTGCTCATTGTCATGAAGGTATCTTATTTCTCCATCAATTTTGAAAGATAGTTTTGCAGGGTACATCAATCTGAGTTGGAGGCTGTTTTCCTTTAGGGCTTTAAATACATCAGTCCAAGCTCTTCTTGCCTTGAGGGTTTGTTGGGAAATCTGCTGTGATTCTGATGAGCTTTCCTTTGTATGTGATTTGTTTCTTTTCTCTAGCTGCTTGTAGAACTTTGTTCTTCTGTTAGGTTTCTGGAATCTTAACAATTATATGGCTATGTCTAGTTTTGTTTTGTTTTGTTTTGTTTTTGATCATGGCTAGTTGGAGTTCTATATGCCTCACTTATCTGTATGTCAATTTCCTTCCTCCTGCTTGGGAAGTTTTCTGCCATTACTTCTGTGAACAGTTTTTTTTAAGTCATCTGCACTGTCTCCTTTTCTTCATTGACTCTGCTCAGTCTTATGTTATTCTTCTTTGCATTGTCTAGCAGCTACTGGATTGATTTCTCATCATCCTTTACAATTTTAAAGCAATTTTCTTTTCCTGGTCACTAATTGCAATCTTTTTGTTTTTATTAAATTCTTTTATTGGCACATTGTAGGTATACAACACAATTACATTTCTCACTGGGAACTGTACCTTTACATAATGCATCTTGGTTCTTATTTTTTCCCCATTCCTAGCCCTCCCTTCATGCCCTCCACCCTTCCCTATTTACAAAGACTTTATTTCCATTTTTTCCATTTCTCATCATTTTTCCTTTCCCTTCTTTCCTTTCCCCTGCCCCTCCCACTACCCCTACCCCTTTGGACCTTTTCTTCCTATTTTACATTATTGATTATTCATTCTAATCATTGGTACATTTTAGGTATACAATATAATGACATTCATCATTGGAAATTTGCACCTTTACATAATCTCTCTTGGTTCTTATTTTTCACCCTTGCCTAGCCCTCCCTTCAACCCCTCCAGTCCTCCCTATTTACAAAGATTTTGTTCCTATTTTCCATTTTCTCATATTAATCCCATTCCCTTCTTTCCTTTCCCCTATCCCTCCCACTTCCTTCCCCTTTGCCCCTTTTCTTCCTATTTCACATGACCTATTATACATTTAGTCCTTATTTACACTTCCAGTTTCTCACACCAGAGAAACTATTCAGTATTTACACGTGTGTCCTATTTATTTCACTTAAGAGTATGGCCTCAATGTGCATCCACTTAGCTGTAAATGTCTCTAACTTCTCATTTTTTATGGCTGAGTAGTACTCCATTTTATAAAAAAACTAATTGCAATCTTATCTTGTATATCTGAAATTCTGTCCTCACATTGGCTCATTCTGCTCTTTAGACTTTCAGTGTAGTTTTTAATCTCCTAGAAATGTGTTTGCATCTGTTTTATGGCTTCCATTTGTTTCCTATGTTGGGATTTCATCATGTTTGTCAGCTCCTCTATTTTTTTTATCTGTGTCCACTCTAGATTTATTAATCATGTGTTGCACTATGGGCAGAATCTCTGCTGTTATGTAAGAAATTATTTCTGATTTCATTTTTTCCAGATTGTCTTTTGTTGCCAGTTCAGGGAGTCCAGGTGGTTGAGTATTGGATCGTTCCATCTCATTTCCCTTTGGGGTTGCTTTAGGTGATCTGGAAGTCTGGTGTGGAGACTTGTTTACATCTCTTCTCATTACATGGTGGGAGAGGTGTGTGTGCTGCTGGTGCCTGTGCTGCTCACTTCCGTGGTGCTGGGGGGGTGCTCTGCTCCTTGGCACTGGGGGCAGTGGTATGACTGTCCAGAAGGTTCATCTCCTCCGTGCTGGGGACAGCTCTGCTCCTTGGCGCTGGGGCTCATCTCACTGATTCTGAGACATCATTTAGCCAATAGAGACCTTGACCTTTCTGTCTTGAAGGATCTCATGGTGGTCTACTGCATCACACAGATGTGGAACAGAAATTCAATGAACGCAAACGGAACACCTATTTCAGTGAAGGCTCCAGGAAGGCAGCAGAGATGTCCAGTTGCTTGAGATTTTTGAGCTATCCCAATGGGCCCCAGAGTGTACTGACTTTGGGGTCCTTCAGCAAGTGAGCTGGAGCAGCAATCCAACAGGGAGAACTGGTCCCTCAAAACTTCAGAACCCTAAGTCCAGAATTGTGTGTGTGTGTGCACGCATGTGCACGCTTGGGGGTTATAACTTTCTGTCCATCCATCTACATGGGAGGGGCTCTGTCACACAGCTGTCACACCCCTCAGGTCCCACAGTGGCTGCTGTACCCACAGTGGACATGGTTGCCCTGCAGAATCTCCACAAAGTTCCAAGGGCTGGCAAGTGAGGCATTATTCCTCCTGAGCTTTGGTGAATGCAGTCTGATTGGGGAGAACCCAACACTCTGAGGTCCCCAGGGTGAAGTGGGCATTCTCTAAGCCAGGCAGGTACCTGACATTAGGAGGTTCCTATGGGACCAGGCCCAAGAAGCCCCAGAAGGTGACTGGAGTGGGTGTTTCCCTTCACCTCCACATGTCCAGTGTCTGAGGAAACACAGGAATGACCTGTGTTACAGGTAGCTTTGTAAGAGACACCTGCACAGCCAGAAGTGGACTGCTGTGCTGCTCAGCCCCTCCCCAGAGAGCTCCTCAGAGGTACACTGGATCATCCCCTGGTGTATATGGAGTGGTCTGAAGTGATTCAGGACCTAGTGGACTTAAGCACAGGCCCAGATGTCTGGGGTCAAGAGGTGTGGAAAGGACTCCCAGAAAAAGTGGGGAATATAACACCCTGCCCATAGGAATGTTCCTCCAAAGGAAGCCCCCAGTCAGTGGTTGCCAAGGTAGATACCCACAGAGGTCCAGCAGCTCCACCCACCAGTCTGCCTGTCCCATGAGCTCCTGATGTCCATAGAGCATCTCAGGTGTGGCCTAGCTGACAGCTCACCTGGAGATCTGCTGCCACCACTCCTATGAAGGAGGAAAAACCAAGGTCCTGGGCTCATCTCTTACAAATACACACTCATTGTATAATAAGATCCTCACCTAAAAGAGGTGGAATGATCATCCACATTTTTCAAATGAGAAAACAAAAATGAAAGTGGTGAAGTGGTTGTCTCAAGATTGTACAATTGCCATGATGGGATCACGTCTGCACTTCCAGCCATAGATCAGACTCCAGCCCCACCACTTGCCCCCCTTAGCCTCAGTTCCTGGAAGGCCACCTTCCCCTGCGCTTGCCGCTCTGCTCCTGATGTTCATACACCAGTTTTCCCCTTGAGAGCTGATTCACAGGACGCCCTCCAAGGCTGTGGTGGAAGTGGTAGAGGGCAGGGGCCCTGAAGGTCTGGCCCTGGCTCACCTGGCTCCTTGCTGCTATGTCCAGGGCTCTCAGAGGCAGACAACTCTGCCTAATCCTCAGGTCTACTACACCTTTAGGAGGGGCCCAGTGAAGCAGCCCCTGTCTTCACGGATCCCCCGCCCCCCGCCTGGAGAGGCGGGGCTTGGCAACCTGCTGCCAGCCAAGTGCCCACCTTGAGGTCCCAGTAGGGGCAGGAAAGACGACGACGTCCCGGCAGAAGGGTCCCACGCCTGGGGAGGGGGCACCCCGCGAAGAAGTTCAAAGTCCCCCTCCAGGCTCCCATTTCCTTGCCTCTGCTCAGACACAGTTCCAACCCCGCTTCCCTCGGATCCTTTCAGGCTGGTGACAGTGACAAGAGCAGTCACTTCCCAGGTGCTCCGGGACCAGGTGTGCCGTCTCCCCGAGCCCGCGGTCCCGCACGGAGCCGATGAGGCTGCCGGTGCCCGCACCCGCCGAGCCGACCCTGTGCTCCCCAGGTCCCGCAGGGCGAGGCAGAGTCGGTGCGCCAGAGACCCGGACCTCCAGTCCGGGCTCAGGCCGCAGAGCTCACGACGCGCACCCGGTGTTCCCCCAAGCGTCCCGCCGCCCGCCCGCGGCCCGGGACGCCGCCCTACCTTGAAGAAGCTTCGCAGGAAGTGCACGAAGCCGAGCATGGTAGGGCCAGTTGCCGAGCCTCCCGTGGCCCACACTGCTGAGCCCAGTCCTGGAGCCTAGCCGGGTCCTGGCTGTGGAACAGCGCCCGGGGCCGCCCCGCCCTCCCGTCGAGAAGCCCCGCCCCCGCCCCGCCTCCAGGGGCTTGGGTGGATCCGCGGGAGTACAGGCCTCCGCCGCCCTCGAGACACGCGGCGCGCGAACGCACCCTGGCTTCCGTCCCTCGGCCCAGGTTCCCGGAGTCCAGCGGAGGTCCTGAGCTGACTGGGTTGGTCGCAGGGCTCCCCTCCTCGGACCCCTAGGCATAGGACTGGGCTCGGTGCCCCTGCCCTCTGACCTGAGCTTTTCTTGCCAAGCTTCAAGAACTTCTAGAGCTCAGTCTAGTTTATTTACCAGCGAGGAAACAGGGCACCAAGGAGACTCAGCAGGGTACCTACACTCCCACATCTGGGGAGGGAGGGTAGTGAAGACTAGAATCCCTGAGACCAGGGTCTTCACACCAAGCTGCATCCCCAGTTCTGTATACTTTTTTGAGAGGGAGTCTTGCTAAGTCACTAAATTACTCAGGCTGGGCTCAACTTGTGATCCTCTTCCCTCACCTCTCAGAGTGCTGGATTACAAGCCTGTGCCACCCCACCTGGGCCTCTCCTCCGTCCCTTTCCCAGTCTGTCCTGGCGCATAGGGTGTGATGGGGCACAGAGGCACCCGGGAGCAGCTTCTGCTAAGGCCAAAGGGAAGTCCTGGCCCTTTCTTTGTGGGCCTTTCCAGGACATAGGTTGGCTGGTGTCTAGGGCCTCACTATTTTGATGAGCCAAATAAAAGCTTAAACTATAATTTCTTTTAGCATAAAAACCTCCTAGCGTGATAATAATAATGAATCCTGCCTGGATTATATTTATCTTTATATGAATATGGTTATAAATATAATTTTAAGTAATTTGGTTTTACATTGAAAGGGGCCTGTAAAGACAAAGTGCCAAGAGCTCACGTGTATCTCACTGTACCCGACAGGTGGGGTGTCCCATGGGGTTGAGCATCTGTCCAGTCTGGCCTTAACCATTCCTCTGCCCAAGCCTGCACCCTTCACCCAACGCCTGGCCATTACTGGTCAGTAGCAGTGTCCAGGGTTGGTTGGTAGACTATGTTATTTCTCCCACACCCCTGGCCTCTGTTTCTCCTCTGACCCTCAGAGTAGCCAGACCAGGGTAGAAAACCTGGGAAATAAATACCTGGAGTTTGGTGAGGTCTATAAGCAGAGAAGCCACCATTAGACCATTTGAAAGTCCCACATCCATCCCCCATCCCCCTCCTCACCTCCAGGGTCCACCGCCTTGCTGGAAGCACATCCCTGGGACACATGCTGGGAGAAACAGTGTGGGCTTTGGATCCAGACTCCTGGCTGGGTTGCATACCACTTGTGCAGTCTTGGTCACTTGTCCTAAACCCATGTCTCACAGGAGAGCACAACTTACAGTGGGTCTTCTGTGAAGAGTAACTCAGAGAGTAAGCCTCGCAGGTGCTCAACAAGTGAATTCCCTCTTCTCTGAAGGCTAAGAATGCTAAGCACTCCAGAAATGGAGAGACATCCAGTAAAAACAAACAACACTTGGTCCCAACTTCCACTGTTACCTGGATACCTCTGTTGGACCTGGGGTCCTGAACCATACTTGGGGTCCTGAACTCAGACTTGAGTGGCCTCAGAACCACTTGGCGGGCATGTGAGGGTTTAGGCTACCATACCATCCCAGCATTTTGGGATAGCTGGCTAAGGAGGGAGCATGATGATTTACATTTTGACACATTTCCAGTGACCCCATGCTGCTGGTCCTGGGACCACAGTTGGAGATCCAGACGCGCTGGTCTGGAAGTGAGACTGGGCCAGACCTCAGGTGGAAACATAACTGTGTCAACAGTTCCATGTATTGAGTACCTACTCTGTCCCAACACAACAATTATGCTCTTGCCATAGTTTAACCTCTCAGCAGTCTTGAGGGAAATGACAACTTTGAATGCTCAAAGAGAAGTGAAACTTAATTTTATGTCTGACTTTTTCTTCTAGAGAACATAATTTTAGGAGGACCTGACTGGGTTGTGGTATGCTGTCTCTTTTGACATTCCAAAAACAATAATAATAACAGATGGGCCTATTAGATTTGCTGAAGGAATTGTGCAACAGGGTTTCTAATCAACCAAACCCACCATGTTGAAATATGACCCCAAGTTCGTGTCTGTCAAATCCTGGAATTAAACAGTTCAGCAGTGAGCCTGCTCCAGGGAGCCAGGGCAGGGAGGGGGTGAGGTTTCAGTTTCCTTGGTGAGAAGCTGCCTGCTTGTACTACTGTCACAATGGAGGACACAACCTGTGCCTATTGAAAATGATTTTTAAAAAGTTCCTTGGGCTGGAATGCCATTCTTGAAGGTGTATATGAAGTGTAATAGAGATCCAGTGGTCTCTGTGCAGGGCCTACAGAGAGCCTGCTTAGACAGCCAGGGCAGTGTAGCGGCTAGTGAGGAGCATCAGTGGTGGTGACCCTCTGGGCCAAGCCTGGAGAAGGAGATATCCTGGAGTGGGGCTTCCTGTCTTGACTACCTTGGCTTTCTGGGCCCAACTTTGTAAGTTACACTTTCGTGGGCTCCTGGGACAATCATAAATGTACCCCCAGGCTCTTGCAGACAGATTCCTGGTCCTGAAACAGTGACATGTGGGAAGGGAAGGAAGAAATCAGGGAAGGTCCTGGGGAGCCCACATGGGCTTCCTTTGAGGGCCATTGGGAAAAAGCAAGGAGGCACAAATTCTGCTCTGTGCTCAGAGTCAAGCTGGGTGCCTGGTTCCTTGATGTAAAGAGCTTCTCACTGATGCCAACACAGAAGAGTTGTGCACGGTGGGATGAGCCAGGCAGGGACTGACACACCTGGGAAGAATTCAGAAGACCCTTGGAGAGTCAGACTTCCTGCAAGCAGAGATCCAGAGCTATGCAGTTCCAACTGTGTATATGTGGGGATGGGTAATAGGGCCCAAAGGCAGGTCCATGCAGAATCACTTCCTGAGGGGCCCAGCACCCAGGCTTCCTGGGCTTGGGGAGACCTGGGAGAGAGATTAAAACATGATGATCAACAAAGGAACTTATGCAGAGGAAGCCCACACAGAATAGACAGGGAGTGTGAGGTGAGCAGTTACCTGCATTTCTCTTTGATCATGTGAGGAAGTCAAGCTTCAGAGAACATGATAGTTAACTGATTGTGTCAACTTGATTAAGAAATGCACAACTAAATTGGATCAACATAGTTTTGGGTGTGGCTGAAGGGATTTACTCAAAATAGAAGACCCATCCTAGGAAGGTTTTGTCTCCTGAATGATGTAAAGGGGGAAACAAAGAAGGAAGGCTCTCTTCTACTTCTTCAGAGGCGCTCCAGTCTTCACCTTCACCTTGGTCATCGTATCCTGGCTTCCAGCACAGACTCTTCAGCCTTCCATTGCAGACCCTTTGGCCTCCTGATACTGACTCAAAGGGACACTACACTGAGTTCCAGGCCTTCAACTGGCTTGTTCGAATTTCCAGCTCACAGACAACCCTTTTGCACTCTTCCACACCTGACTCTTTTGGTAGCCATTGTAGGCCAATCTTGTCAATTCTTATATATTTGCATGTATTGCATTAAATCTGTTCCTCTAGTAAGCACTGAGTCACAGAGAGGCAAAGCATCTTGTGTTTCAGTCCCAGAGACAGAGTAGGTGGGGTGCAGCCCCTAGAAATATCCAGCCAGCTTGGACCTAATGGTTGGAAATGGGTGAATCCATAGCCAAATATAGAGTATGGCTTGGGCCCAAGGTGGTCAAGCTGAGCAGGCTTGAGCCCTGAAGCTCAGGGTCTTTGGGAAAGTTGCACAGACCACCTTGAAAGGAGCTGGGATTTGGGGGACAGGGGTATGGGTGTGCAGGCTAGAAGTGTCCCCAGATCCTCTCTGGAGTCTGGCCTAGACTGACCCTGAGAGCAGCAGAGACAAGAGAAATATGATAGAGGGAAATTCACAAGGACAGTGTCCACCAGAGAACTGGTCGCCTCTCTCCCTTCCTGACACCTCCTGGCCTTGGAGCTCCTGGGGACACATTGAGTGGAAGGGGCTTGAAGCAGAGTGAGGATGAGGAGAGCCCAGGCAAGATGGGAAAACCAAGGATAGGTGGAGCAGGCCATGGAAACCATCAGCCTGCTGAGATTCAGGAATCCCAGCCTCTCCCCCAAGTCACAGACCTACTGACAGATGAGGCAGAATGCAAACAGACTGGCCTGTGCTCCTCACTGTGGACTGTCTTCTTAGGAGCATGGTGTATAAACTGACTTCTTCCTGACCCTGCTGAGGGGCCAGACTAACACCACTCAACTTGAACCCTAGGCCTGGAGTGGAAGGGTTGCAGGGTCTTCCCTCAACCCCCGGCTCCCATGCTGTAACCAGGCTCCTGGTCCTATTTTGCTCCTGCCCCACATCTGCATGTGGGGAGGATCAAGAATTGCTGGTGTAAGGACCACAAGGCTCCAGACTGATGGAAGTGGAAGGTCCAGGAGCCTAAGAGCTTGACTCTGCCACACCCCTGAGCCCCGGTGTTCTCAACTATGAAATGGGCCAATGATAGCATCAGCTCTCAAGGTGCTCACAGCCTTGATGTTCTGTCAAGATTATGCTGCTCCCTTAGCCCTGACCTCAGAGAGGGGACCCACATTTTCATGGGCACTGTGGGATGATGGCCCACCCCTCCCAAGAAATGAGGGCTGTGGGTGTAGCCAGCATACAGCCTGTGACAGGGATGACATGGAGGGGATCATGGGACAAGCCAGCAGCTTCTTCAGCAGGATCTGTGTTCTCTGTAAAGGCACCTATGGTGCCTGCAGGGATGCCTAACCAAGCTGCAGGGCCTTGAGGGGAGGGATGAGATCTCCATTCATTGTCTCTTGGACAGTTGATAGTTATTTCAGATCAATGCAATACAAATCAATATTGGTTCACAAGATGTTCCTGTGCACCTGACATATGTGTATGAGTTTCAGGCACAGGAACAATCTGGCTTGCCTGCCTTCAG